TACAAGTTTTGAGATGTGAGCACAAAGCTCTATCTCCTCAACATGGATAAAGTCTAATATGCATCACAAGGCCACATTTGTAGGCCCTGCTTATATATGTCTCTTTTGTAGAGACAGATCATGTGTTGTGTGTGTTTGTATCTGTACACACAGATATGTAATCTTTACATCACAGCCATGCTTCTTACAGTTCAAACAGTCCTCTGGCTATTTGGCCTACAGCACTGGTTCCCAAAGTGGGCAATACCACCCCCTGAGGGGCGCTGGAACGATCCAGGTGGGCAGAAGGAGCCTTGGGTGCAAATCTGTCACTGCATCTTTTTGACCAGTTTTTGAAGGTAGATTTCCAGGGGAGCGCTGAGTAATATATTTTTTTTCCTGAAAAGGGGGTGGTAGGCCAAATAAGTTTGGGAACCTCTGGCCTACAGCATGGAGAATGAACTTGTTTTGTATGAGAAACTATGTAAAGCATAGTATTGAAGGTTAAGAAGTTAGTCAAACCAACTCTTCTTCAGGTGGAGATGGCCCTACACTTACAAGCTGCTAGCCAGTAAGGAGGATGGACAAGTGATGCTGTTTCCAGATTAGGAAGGAAATACGCAGAATAGAAAAGAGAAAGCCACCAGCTAAGAAAGCAATTCTTGGAGGTGTCTCATGATGGAGGAGGTAGGGCCCTCTCTTTTCAATTGCAATTAGGCACGCTACAGACACACTTGTCAGAACTCTTTAGTTGAGACAAGATGGATGGTGATTTCCAGGGCAGAGGCACAAAATTCTAGTTGTGAGCATGGAATGTTTGGCCACTACTCCTCACTCTCCTTTTCCATAGCAGCTTCACTGATATGGAACAAATTTACCCTGGAGATCCATGGAGCTCGTAAGATCTTTCTGTTCAGAAGGCACTTTTGTGAAACTTTTATGTAGTTCTATGTACTTGTGTCTTTGGGCTGACGCCCGCTTTTACCTGTTGATCTGACAGTGTTTACATAATGTTTACATAATTTTGAAAGAATACATTAGTTGCCTTGGGCTCTTAGGAGGAAAGCTGGGATATGAATGTTTTAAAACAAATACATATAAGAAATATAACTAACAGACAGTAGAATATGTACTTTGATGGCATCAATTGTGAATTACACAATTACTCTTAAATGAAAAATAGATAAGAGAACGATAATGACATAAAATAAAATGATGCTTTGGGAAACAGATATGTACAAAGCTAATCTGGATTTCCTCTTCCCTCCTCAGCAAGTCTCTGACTATGGGTTTATAATAATTTATCTTCAGCATGAGAATGAGGTTTTCCAGAATATTGAGTGAGGGAGTTCTTTAAATCGACAATATAATTTTTTCCTAAATTATTTACCCCTCTTCTTTTGTTGTTCCCTTTATGAATATTAGCAATGTATATGAAAACTTCATTAAGTTAAATTACTCCTAAAGGCTTACCCAGTGGCACTCAGGTATGGAAAAAACATGGGATAAGGGACTGCGGTTTCTTATTAAGATTCTAGGTAATATTACTAAAGCAACTGCTAAGAATTCTGTGAAGTTTGGAAACAAAGAGAAAAAATGTTTGTTGATGCCTGCTGGTGCTATTTTGCTATGATCAGATTAGCACCTGTCTGCCAGAATTAATCCAACTTCAAACGCAACCATGCGCTTTCCCAGCTATCATTAGACCACGTCATATACTCTCTATTGCAGATCCCTAGAATTTAAGCCTGTGTTTGAAACAATCAGCACTCATTAAGAGGATATTTAATTTTCCAAATTAAACCACATCAGCTAGGAAACAGAAGTTGGACTGAGATAGTGCTAAACAGCTCCGTAATATTATACAGAGGAAGAAATGTACATCCACATTAGGCATGTATGTTATTTAACAGAACCGTCTCTGTTGTTTGGGAAAACGGACAATTGTTCATAGCATCGCATCTGTAGGGGGTGTGAGAGACAGCTGCATAGTCTGATGATATTTTCATCTATATTTATATTTAGATAGTACCCTAAACGTATACTCTATGAAATAACACAATGCAAAAACAAAATAGATCTCTAAGTCAAAAAGCTGACCTTCTAGATTGATCTAGATATTTAACCGGAATTCTAGTTCCTAGATGATACCTCAGTGTGCATATATTATCAACAGTGAATGCTTCTAGGTGTCATGGTAGGATTCCCAGCTCCCAGTTGGGAAGTACCTGGAGATTTGGGGGGCGGTGGGGTTTGGGGAGGGGAGTGACTTCAGTGGGCTATAATACAATACAATCCACCTTCCAGAGTGGCGATTTTCTCCAGGTGAACTGATCGCTGTTATCTGGAGATCTGCCATAACCCCAGGAGACCACCTGGAGGTTGGCAACCTTATGTCACGGGTAAGGAAAAGACTGTTTTAAAGGTTTTGTTTTTGTTTTGGTAGCAGCAAAGAGGAGATCCATAGAGCAGGTACTGTGACAGGCAGTACAAGTAAAGTCAATGGGCTTAGAAGGGTGTAACTCTGCTTAGGACTGTACCAAGAAAGAATGACTAAGCTGTCAACAGGTAACTCTTTTAGGCATTGCAAGAGCCAATCACATATGCCCTAAGTAAAAATTTAATTTGCTTAGTCTGTGAAGAAAACAATTCACTTGCTGCTTTATCATTGTTGCCTGACAGAACTGTTTATTTTAAATTTTTTTAGCTGTACTGTGTTAAAAGCTTTTTTGGCACCCATGAAAATCACATCCACAGATTTTACGTCAATTCTTTCAGTCACGTCTCTCAAATTTATAAATGAAAAGCTTATTTGAGAGTTGGTTATGATTATGTTTTTATAATGTACTATCAACACAGTTTGCTCTGTTCTGAAAAAAGGAAATCTAGAGGAGGACCACATAAAAAGAAGTATATTCCAGTTATTAAAAACTTGGAGTGAGGGAATGGGTTTTGGTCACAATGAGGCTTCGATTATCAAAGCGTGACAATATAATTTAAAACATTTGTTGAGGAAAAAGAAAGAAAGAAAGAAAAAATTTAAATCTGGAGCAGAACACTTCATAAAGTGAGGGAGAAATTGAGAAGCTGGGGCTACCTAGATGTTGAAGGGGATCATGCATAGAATTGCCAGCTCTGGGTTGGGAAATTCCTGGAGATTTTGGGAGTGGGACCTTGACGGGGTATAATGCCATAGAGTCCACATAGTAGCCCCTTTTCCCAAATAAGCTCTGTAGGCTTGAGAGCAGTTGTAATTCTGGGAAATCTTCAGGCCCCACCTAGAGATTTGCAACCCAAATCACATGCTCAATAATACTCGTTAAAATGCCTTACTAAATAATCTCAACTTTCCTATAACTAAAATTTGGATCAATGAAAATAACTTGAAGAGTAGAATATGTCAATGTGCAATTGGAAAAAGAAAACAAAACCAGCACTAGATCAGTGAAAATGTTTCATACTATTCCAGTGCATTGATCCAAACAACTGGCAAGTGTGAGGCAAAGCACCCCTGGCTTTCCCCCTCAAGGGTTAATGTGAATGATAATGGGCTCATTCCACTTTGCAGGTGTTACTTATTGACCTCTGGGCCTACATAGCCCTTATCATCTTCAAGGCCAGAGTTGGAAACATGGTAATTAGCTTCTCAGGAGAACCTGTAGTCACAGAATGGAAGGGGGGGAGGTAAGGAGTGGTAAGGTAATTTTCTAGAGGATTCCAGCAAGACTGTGTGCTGATTGGGTGTCAACATTGCCTGATGTTGCCTGGCCAAAAATATAATTGAGCTAAGAATCTGGAGAATAAAGCTAGCTTGGATTCCAATGGACTAAAGACCTGGACTATGTCATGCTTGAATGGCAATTGCTAGCAACAAAATACCTGACATATGGCCTTTTGATCCCTGGATTTAAGGTTTGTGCCATCTAATGCAAGTCCTGCAAAGTGTTAGATAGTTAAGCTAGTTTTCTTGTTTTTCTGCTATATGATTCTGAGGTAAGGTGTTGCTTGTAGACTGAATCTTTATTTTGATAAAAATGAAAGAACTTTATAAACCCCTTTTAAAATTAAAGAAATGTCTGCTCACTTGTGTACAACAGCCCTGGGAACCCACAGGGTTCAGCCTAGGACTTCTTGACAGCGAGATATGCTCCTTGGCTGGAAGTTTTCAAGAGGAGGCTGGACGACCATCTTTTGGGTATGTTGTAGGGCTATGCTCCTGCAGAGTGCAGGGGGTTGGACTAGATGACCTGCAAGGTCCCTTCCAACTCTAACATTCTATGATTCTATATGTAAGAAATGCATATTTTTGATTTTCAGAAATTATGTTAATACAGGTATATGCAGAGCAAAATAGTAGTGATTTCAAGAAGATCTCTCTCTCTCTTTCTCTCTTTCTCTCTCTCTCTCTCTCACTCAGAAACACACACAAAGAGACTGTAAATGAGATCCAAAGTACTGAACATAAAATCTTCATGCACAATGGCACACCTGAAGTTCCCTGCAACCCAAAAAGTTATTCCAGAAAGCTGAAAGACTGTGTATACATACAAAAAAAAAGAAAAAGTGTAGAAAGAGCCTGGGTATACACTAGGGTACTCCTCATGTGTGGATTCTGTATTTCATGGCCAGGATCCATAGAGATACTTCGGCTTATGCAGGGAGTTTGTACTAGGCCAGTAGAATTTTTAAAATTGTTTTTAACAGTTAACCCCATTCTGCTCATGATTTTATACAAACCGCTTTTGAAACTCCTCTTGGTTTTAGAAGGAGGTCATCATATAGCACTAAGGGGAAAAAAATTCTAAAGCTCTCATGCTCAGGGAACTACTTTCATAGTGGCCTGGATCTGGGTGCTTGATTACAACCATTAGTATAGCTAGAACTGTGAAACAATTAGCTATAATGGCTTAATATAGTTATGCTGCAGTATTTGGAATCCTAATAATGCACTGATTGGTGTATAACATTTTTATAATACTGATTATGGAGGGTTGTTTTTTTTAAGCAAAGCTTTCACTTACCTGCAGTGAACAACCATTGGTCCAGCATCAGGAGGATTACAGGTTTTGACTCGTCTTAAGAAAGCTAGGAATGGTGTAGGGTGTTCTGGAACTCCATGGTCAGGCCAGGCAGTGAACTGGAACTGCCTTACTTCTCTCTTCTCACTCGACCCATTCTGTAAGGTAAGAACCTTGGTTGAAATGAATGTTTAATGCCATAAGAGTGAAAACACAGCACTAGGACACTTCATCACAAAACTTATGTAACATTCTATCTGACAGAAACAACACAAACACATTTATGATAGGATGTTGCAATAAATTGCCCTGCCACACTAGCCAAATCTGTAATTCATTTTGATTTCCAGCTAGGTTTGGGGATGGAGCCTGGGGAGGACAGGGACCTGAGTGGGGTACAGTGCCATAGAGTCCACCCTTGAAGGCATCCATTTTCTCCAGGGGAACTCAGTCTGGAGATGAGCTGTAATTCTGGGAGATCCCACCTGAAGGCTGGCATCCCTACTTGCAGCTCAGTTTCAATAGGTAGTTGTTCTTGATTAATTACAATAATGACAGTAGCAAAGATGGTGCCCGATAGCACATGCACAGCACTGGGACTTTGTGTATTTGCTAGCTGCTACTTGGTTCAGCTACTCATGTATACACAAAATGCTAAAAAAATGGTGGTTGTCAGCTTTGACAAAAGAGAACAAAATGAAAACGTTCAAATGTCTAAAAGGCTACCATATGAAAGAGGGAAAGAATTTTCGAGAAGGACATGAAGCAATGTATAAAATATACAACAAAACTGATTTTGTTTACATATCAAGAAATGAAATAAAGATGGCTGGAAATAACAAGGACTTGGATCCCACTGACAATTATTGCTGATCAAAGGAATTCTGTCAGTGGAGCTTGATTTTCTTGCCTCCCTCCTCCCACTGCAGCCCAAATGCTCCTCGAAAGGCTGCTCTTGGGAAATGGGAGAACCCAGGGTTTTCGGGGTTTTTTAAATAGGTACGAGAACTCTCAAGAGGAAAATGAAGTTTTCAATGTGTATACTGAAAACTCATGAACATTTAAACGTTTTTAAAATAATTTTGTCAAAGAGGTTCTGGAACTCTGTTCCGGCACGTTTCCTCAGAAACCCCCCCCCCCTGGAAAACCCTAAGAATAGCTTGTGGGGGAAGACAGAAGACTGTATCAGAAGGGGAGGGGAGTCGGTGAAAAATACCTCCCCTGCTTCTACCTGCAGAAGCATTAAAACAGGATCCAACCCAGGGAATTTTGTGGAACTTAGGCCCCAGTCAAAAGGGCCAGATAATGTGGGGGTGAGGTGTGGCTGTTTGCCCCGGGGCAAACTAAGCGCGTTAGCCCGATCACACGTTCTCTCGAGTCTTCGCGCTGTGGCAGGAAGCCCGCGATCACACGACAATGCTGGAGCTGGCAAAGAAGCCATGCGGCAAGCATTCCATGTTTGTGTGCATGCGCAGTTCTGCGGAGCAGCACTGCTTCCAGTTTAGTGTTCGTGCACATGCACTTAGGAAAACCATCTGGGTTGTGACGGGACTTGGATGGGCGCTGGAAGCCACAGGATACTAGCGGTCCTGCGATCAGACGCCCGCCCCTGCCGTGCGTTTTCCGGATACTACTGCACTTTCTGAGGTATTTTTTTACTGTGCATCTTCAGCGGGATGTCACGGGTTGGCTACGGGTGCGCTACGCTTCCCACCGCACCGAAAATCCACCTACCATTTGTGCCTTTAGCGTGGCAAATCCTCCATGTGATTAATTAGCCATAGAGAAGAAACAGGGATATCTGCCACAAAATATTTAGTTTTATAGAATCTTGCTTTTGGCAACACATGGGACTATATGCCTGTAGAAAATCTTGTCAGTTGAATATATCTATGTTATGTAACAATGAGAACTCCTCCTTCCCTTTTAAAATGAGATAATGCTTGTGATGCAACTAACATTTCATTCAAGAAAATCTTCAGAAACACTGCGTTTCTATACAATATCTCCCCCTGTCCCATTAACCCCCTCCCCCAACAAACCCAATATATACATAGCAGATAGGTACCTTATAAAGTGCAAATGTTCGAACGCAATATGTTGCTAATTCTACGGTGTCCAGCAAAGTAACCTGGATCAATCCATAGGTTTCTGTTCCTCTGCTAGGCCAATACTGATCACACTTAACCTGAAACAAACATCTGAGGTATTAATATATTCACTTTAAAAGCCACAGGTCCCACTGTTAATAGTGAATCAATGTAAACAAGCTGAAATAAATGCTAACAAGTTGTGATAACCTATGTTCTCCTACTAATGAATTTGGAAGTTCAAGCAGGGGAACAAAGATATAAGAACATAAGAGAAGCCAATGTTGGATCAGGCCAATGGCCCATCCAGTCCAACACTCTGTCACACAGTGGCCAAAAATACCAGGTGCCATCAAGAGGTCCACCAGTGGGGCCAGGAAACTAGAAGCCCTCCCACTGTTGCCCCCCCAAGCACCAAGAATACAGTGCATCACTTGCCCCAGACTGAGAGTTCCTATCTATACCTTGTGACTAATAGCCAATGATTGACCTCTGCTCCATATGTTTATCTAATTCCCTCTTGAAGCCATCCATGCTTGTAGCCACCACCATCTCCTGTGGCCGTGAATTCCATGTGTTAATCATTCTTTGGGTGAAGAAGAACTTCCTTTTATCTGTTCTAACCCGACTACTCAGCAATTTCATTGAGTGCCCATGAGTTCTTGTATTGTGAGAAAGGGAGAGAGGTACTTCTTTCTCTACCTGCTCTATCCCATGCATAATCTTATGAACCTCGATCATGTCACCCCTCAGCCGTCGTTTCTCCAAGTTAAGAGTCCCAAGCATTTTAACCTTTCTTCATAGGGAAAGTGTTCCAACCCTTTTTATCATTCTAGTTGCCCTTTTCTGCCCTTTTCCCAATGCTATAATATCCTTTTTGAGGTGTGGTGACCAGAACTGTACACAGTACTCCAAACGAGGTTGCACCATTGATTTATACAGGGGCATTATGATACTTGCTGATTTGTTTTCAATTCCCTTCCTAATAATCATGAGCACAGCGTTGGCCTTTTTTATTGCAGTTGCACACTGTCTCAACATTTTCACGGAGTTATCTACTACGATTCCAAGATCTCTCTCTTGGTCAGTCTGCCAGTTTGGACCCCATCAACGTGTACTTCTTGTTAGGATTTTTGGCTCCAATGTGCATCACTTTGCACTTGGCCACACTGAACCCCATTTGCCACGTTAACGCTCACTCGCCCATCCTTGACAGATCCCTTTGGAGTGCCTCACAATCCTCCCTGGTTCTCACCACCCTGAACAACCTCATGTCATCTGCAAATTTAGCCACTTCACTGCTTACTCCCAACAAATCATTAATAAACAAGTTAAAAAGCATCGAACCGAGTACTGATCCCTGTGGTACCCCACTGCTTACCACCATCCACTGAGAACATTTCGCATTTATACTCACTCTCTGTTTCCTATTAATTAGCCAGTTTTTGATCTACAAGAGGACCTTTTATCCCGTGACTATTGATCTTACTTAGGAGGCTTTGATGAGGAACTTTATCAAAAGCTTTCTGGAAGTCCAGGTAAATAACATCTATTGGGTCCCCCTTGTCCACATGTTCATTCACTCCCTCAAAGAACACTAACAGGTTAGTGAGACAAGATCTTCCCTTACAGAACACATGCGTCAGTGGTTCTGGAGTGGGAAAGGACTTCTCATCTTCCATAGTGAATACAGAGGCAAAATATGCATTCAGCTTCTCAGCCATTTCCCTATCATCTTTCAGTACTTCTTCTACCCCTTGGTCATCCAAGGGCCCCACTGCCTCCCTGGCTGGTTTCCTGCTTCTAATATATTTGAAGAAAGTTTTATGGTTGGTCTACACCAGTTTGGTGTAGTGGTTAAGGGTGCGGACACTTATCTGGGAGAACCGGGTTTGATTCCCCACTCCTCCACTTGCACCTGGCTGGATGACCTTGGGCAAGCCGTAGCTCTGATAAGTGCTGTTCTTGAAAAAGAGCAGTTTCTGTCAAGAGCTCTCTCAACCCCACCTACCTCAAAGGGTGTCTGTTGTGGGGAGGGGAAGGGAAAGGAGTTTGTAAGCCGCTGTGAGACACCTTTGGGTAGTGAAGGGTGGGGTATAAATCCAATCTCTTCTTCCTCTTCTTCTTTATGTTTTTTGCTATATGCTCCTCCAATTCTCTTTTTGCCTGCCTGATCACAGACTTGCATTTTATTTGCCACAGCCTGTGTTCCCTTTTACCAGCCTTACTGAGATTAGCTTTCCACCGCTTAAAGAAATCCTATCATATAGACCTTTACTGAACTACAGTACGCTTCTTCTATCTGGGATGGATGCCCTCGTTCACTGAGCACTTGGCTTCAAAGGGAGTGGACATGGAATGGTGAGGAAGGAAGGAGACACCCAACTAGCCAGTCAAAATGAACCAACTAGTCAGCTGAATCAACCCTAGCAATCAGTGTGGTGACAGCTGTCACGGCCAGATTACACTCAAACCCAGGGGTCATTTCCTGCAGGAGTGCACAGGAGCAGAGCTCCGGTAGTAAAGAGCCCACGGGGCGGGCACATGCAACAAGCCCCACCTCCTGCTCCCAGCAGCCCTCAGTCAGAGCAAGAAGCAGCCAGGTAAGTTGCAGAGCCCCCCTGGTACAAAACAGTCCAGTGGCAACTTTATGACCAAGTTTTATTCAGGTACAAGCTCTCCCTCCTCTGCGAGGACAGATCTGCATTCCCCCCCCCCAATAGCTAGCAATCCAAAACAGTCCAGTGGAGCCTGAGCAGTGGGGGTGTCCG